TTGCTCATAAACTTACCTTTGACTTTGTATTGCTAATAATACATTGTTCAACACATTTATCTTTGATTTGTATTGTGAATAATACAAATATTAAATCTTATATTCTGACTTTAAAGATTTTAAGACGTTTTTAATACGTATATTATATTTGACATTGAGATTTTGAGAACTCTTTTTTAGCAGTTCAATTATTGCATTAAAAGAACACAACTGTTACCAATCTTTAAGTAGTTTTATTACTAGTATGTTTAGTACTTATTCACATTCAGTCTAATAGTCATAAAGTATTATTAATACTTTGAATTATCATTAAGATATTGGAAGTTTCCCTTTGAATATTTCTTAAATTTTATAAATATCTTTGAGTATTTTGAAAGTTCAATTAAAATGGTAATAATATTAAAAGCATTTTTTTTACTCTAAATAAAAGTTATTATTGAGTAATTTTTTATTAATATTCTTAATTAAAAACTTTGAATTATATTTATTATAGAATATTTGATAAATACTTTAATTTGTGATATATTCCAAAGCTCATTATTTAAATAAGATATTTGTTAAAAAATAATTATTAGTAAAGATATCATAGTATGAAATTAAGAATACTTTTGAAAAATATATTATAATAATTCATTTGATTTTAAAAAACTTTTGTTATAATGTTCACATTATTAACACATATTAATTTTTATTTAGAAATAATAATAAGTAATTAAAAATATTATTACTAGTAATTAATGGTTAAATAATAATAGAAATAATTTGTTGTAAATTATTATGATATTATTAAAATTAGTTAGATGAGCTTTATTTATAAGTGATTTATATTAATTAAAAAAATACTTCTTTTAATTTAATAAACTTATAATTATTTTTGATAATTAACTGAAATTATCTAATAAATATTACTTTTTTAATTTATTTAATCTTTGATTACTTAATTATTAAGTAATAGATTTTATCATATTATTACAATATTATTACTAAATATATTATTAACTTTCAAGTAATTAATAATAATGTTTTATATTAGGATTTTATAATAATATTAAGATAAATTACTTATTTAATATTCTATTCTTTAATGATTTTTAGTATATTATTATAACATTATTACTAATGCTCATATTTTTATTTTTGAAAGATTAATTAAGCAAAAAAATAGATTATTAAGAATAGTTTGATAAATATAAATATTATAGTAATAAAATTATTTCTTACTAAATTTAAAATAGATTTTAATATTAATATAATAATTATTATATTTGTCTTAAATACTTATATATAATCTTTCATATTATAATCAAATACACAATCTTCTATATTAGAATTATATATACAATTTTCTATATCAGAATCAAATATTTAATTTTATATATTAATTGCAATATTCTTTTATTAGAATTAATTATTAAATTTTTCTCTTCAATTTTATTATTTTTACCTTTTTTTATTTGTCTTTCTTCTACTCTTTCTCATCTTTTTTCTTTTTTTTATTTTTTTCTTCTTCTTTTTGATCTATTTTAAATATACATAAATTATACAATTATTCAAATGAATTATATTAATATCAAACTGTTTATTATTTATTAGATAATATTCTTGTAAATTTAAGATACATTTAACAAGATTTCAAAAAATTAACAAAAAAGATTTAATATAATTATCTCAAAATATTTTTTGTATTTTCTTGTTAATGAATTTGTGTAATTTCTTATTTATTTTTCAATATTTATACTTCTTTTGTATTGTTAGTATTGTATGTAAATCGTGATATAGTTTAGAACAGTCATTAGTTTTGTAAATTGTGTAAAAGATTTATTTATTAAACAATTAGATTTATATTCTATTCATTCATATTAAAATTGTAAATTTCAGAATTATTATAATTGTAAATATCAATATCAGAAATATAAATATTAAAAATATAATTATCAAAATCATAAATATCAGAAATATTATTACAATTTGAATTTATTCAAATCATATAGAAATTAAAATTAAAGATTCAAAACTAGAAATTATATTGTAATTTATTTTAATTTCTTAATTTAATAGTAATTATTAATTAGTTTAGATTTATATTGATTAATTTAATATATAAATTAATATACAAATAAATAATACTCCTTTTGTAACATTTATTATAGTAATATACTTATTAATTATAATCTAAATAATTATTAATCTTAGCTTGTAGTATCAATTAATAATAGCTAATTTTTAAATAATTTTTATGACAAGTGATCAATGTCAATATAATTAAATATTAATTATTTTAAAATAATTACTATTATAAATATTAATTATATTAAATATAATTATTATTATAACTTTCAACAAAAAATGAAAAATTACTGAAGCACACAGTTCTCAAATATAAAAATTGTTTTGTTTAATATTTTTAGTATGAAATAACTATTAAATCTAAAAATAAATTTCTTCGTGATAAAAATTATAACATAAAAATGTAATGATTCCAAAAACAATATTCAAGATCCATTTTTTTCATTAATTTTGAAGTAGCATTCTAGAGTCCAATTTATTATAAACCTTTAATCTAAATTCCAATTCTATGTTCATAGCACTTCCATCGCCATTGTTTTTATTTTCGCCGGGGACTGTACTTGATCAACGGATATAATCTCTTCTGAATAAGAAGCCTGCAGATGGATGGCAGTATGAACTGAGTTGCGACAAAAAGATATTTGTTATTGTGCCAATGGATGATTTGTTCTAATAAGATTTTTACAAATTTCCTGCAATTCGACTACGTTTCAATGAACGTTCCTTGCAATTTAAGCACAAATTACAAAATGGTAATAGAAATAAAATTAAGAAATAACTAAGGAAGAAAAAAGTTAACGTCGCAAACAGTATACCAAGCATTTTCTCAAATATAGGTATTCCTGCTATGATAAATACGCAAATCCAATTTTTTGAAACCTACACTTAAACGATAAAAATTGACAATTACCTTGAATCAACTTATGTATAAGGCTGCCTTCAGCCTTGCCAAACATCGTCATTGATCACCTGACGGATTTTCGATCGGAATTAATGAAATTTGACCAGCATTATTGTTTATATTACTATCGTAATTATGTCGAACGATAATAAAGAACCAAATAATAATAATTCTCCTTCAAAAGACGAAGAAAAAGAAGTTTCGTTTGCGTCATTGGTAACTATCAAGCATTATTTTTTTATATTGAATTGATGAATTAATTTTAATACAAAAAAATATTAGATAAATTATTTGATGAACAAATAATTTATTCAGGGCGTTATCGAACCTTTATGTAAAGCATGTGAACAAGTAAAATATGTAAAGCCAACAGACATTCAAGTTGAAGCTATTCCGTGGGCATTACAAGGTCAAAAATTTTTTTAATTATCGATATTTTAGATTTTTTGGATAAAGATCAAAATGTTTCTTTGATTTAGCTAGCTGATACAATAGCCTCATATTTTCTTTAATTTCGATATCTTTAGGTCGTGATATAATTGGTCTTGCACAAACAGGGTCTGGTAAGACTGCCGCTTTCGCATTACCTATTTTACAAGCATTATGGGAAGCGCCACAAGGTCTTTTCGCATGTGTACTTGCGCCGACTAGGTGATCGATTTTATATCATTATTTTTCACATTTACAAAATCTTTAGGATAGCTCTGAAATACACATAATTATAATTTTTCATCGCTTTTAACAAAAAAAAGAGAACTAGCCTATCAAATCACCGAGACATTTAACGCATTAGGAAGCACAATAGGAGTTCGATGTGTAGTGATTGTTGGTGGCATGGACATGATGGCACAATCGATTGCTCTTTCCAAAAAACCACATATTATAATTGCAACGCCTGGTCGATTACAAGATCACTTGGAAAATACTAAAGGCTTTGGATTACGGACTTTGAAATATTTGGTATGAATAATTATTTTTTATTTGGATATGTTAGAGTAATTATATTTATTGATATTTTTTTTGATATGCCTTAGGTGATGGACGAGGCGGATAAATTATTAGATATGGACTTTGGACCAATGATTGATAAAATATTAAAGATCATTCCAAAAGAACGACACACTTTTCTTTTTTCGGCTACAATGACGACTAAAGTCGCGAAATTACAACGTGCCTCGTTGAATAATCCCGTTAAAGTTGAAGTTTCTTCAAAGTAAATTACTTCTTTGGCGGATGGAGGGAAAATTTATATATAATTTAATTATCTGATCTGTACTTATTTTTTGATCAACTTTAGATATTCAACTGTTTCTACACTACTTCAATATTATCTCTTTTTCCCATTCAAGCATAAAGACTGCTATTTAATTTATCTTTGCAACGAACTTGCCGGCAACTCAACTATAATATTTACACGTACATGCAACGACGCTCAACGTCTTGCTCTGATGCTTCGGAATCTTGGATTTACAGCAATTCCATTACACGGACAATTAGCACAATCCAAAAGATTAGGTTCGTTAAATAAATTCAAAGCCGGCAGTAGAAATATACTTGTTGCCACTGATGTTGCTAGCAGGTAAATCTAAAGACATCTATTAATAACACACAAAATTTTATTAGCAGTCAATTCACGAAATAATTTAATATCTATTTTTTAAACTAAACAATAGAGGTTTAGACATTCCACTTGTGGACGTCGTAATAAATTTTGACATTCCAGCCAACAGCAAAGATTACATCCATCGAGTAGGACGAACAGCACGTGCAGGTCGTGCCGGTAAATCTATCACATTAGTGACTCAATATGACGTTGAGTTATTTCAACGTATTGAACATGTGATTGGGAAACAGATGGAAGCGTTTCCTATAGAAAGCAATGACGATGTATTATTATTGCAAGAACGAGTATCAGAAGCTCAACGTATTGCTATTCTAGAAATGAAGGAAGAAAATCTGAGGAATAAGAAGGGAAAGCATAAACGTGTGATAGGTGCTGACGATGATGATAATGATGGTGGTAACAATATAAAAGAAGTGGTTGCAGCTGCTAAACATTTAAAGAAGGGAGTAAAGCCTAAAAATAAAAAACTAAAAAGGTGAAAAAAATTTATTAATATAATTTAAGAGACATCATACAAAAAGAGTATACTTGTACCAAAAATTATAAAACCTAGAGATAATAAAAACCATTTCAGCATACAAGATTAACTCAAATTTTGGTAATCATCAAATACATGTAATCAACTTCTGATTAATGATTTAATATATAGTGAGACCTCTACTTATTCAATCTAGATAATATTCAACTATTTTATCTAATTTAGCCCTGGACGAAATTAAGAAATTTATTATAGATCAAATTTACCATAAAGTGCTCTGTATAGTATCCCCCTTGTAGAAAATTTAAAATTTAAACATCAATTTAACCTCAAGGCTATTAAACCAGTAACTAAATTTTTTAAAAAATCGTAGTGAAATCTAAATTTGCGGAAAAATAATTGGATTTACTAAAAATTTGATTTGACATATATTCTTTTTACTATGTTGCATAAAATCTAAAGTCATCAAACGTTTGTATTTACTAAGAAATAAATACAAAGTTTATACATTTTATAAAATACAAACTTTAGAGTTTATGCATCATAAGCAATATGATTATCAGATGTATTATTATCGTTATCTTGAGAGATTTATAAAGCCAAATATTAACCTTATTGGGTTACAAAAAAATTTCGATCATCTTGATCCAATTATAAAAGGATAAAAAAGAACCCCTTCAAGTAAAAATAAATAATTCATTGAAACTGATAAAAAAAAAAACATGTCGCAAGCACTTCGTTTTGATGGACGTACAGTTGTCGTAACAGGGGCTGGTGGTGGTATGTATATGAAAAAATCAATAACTTTTGACATAATATTTCCTACAAGGGGTTTTGCAAATCAAACATGTTATCTGTGGATTAAGAACACTTATTTTAAAAATTGAATATCAATCTTAATCTCAATTTTAGGTCTAGGTCGTGCTTATGCACTTGCTTTCGCTTCCCGTGGTGCCAATGTGGTAGTTAATGATTTAGGTGTATCTCGTTCTGGCGATGGATCCTCTTCTAATGCTGCTGACAAAGTAGTCGAAGAAATCATAAAAGCCGGAGGTAAAGCCGTTGCCAATTATAATTCTGTAGAGGATGGCGACAAAATAATAGAGACGGCCCTTAAAGCATACGGTCGTGTCGATATAGTAATTAATAACGCAGGGTAATATTGAATTTGAGATAATTTACAATAGATTCATAATTCAAAGTTAATTACTTATATCATTTGTCTAGTATTCTTCGTGATGTGTCATTTACAAGAATGACTGATAAAGATTGGGATCTCATCCAATCTGTTCACGTTCGTGGATCTTACAAAGTAACAAGGGCTGCTTGGGACATATTCAGAAAACAAAAGTATGGCCGAATAATTAATACAGCTTCGGCGGCTGGTATCTATGGAAACTTTGGTCAAGCCAATTATAGTGCAGGTATAAATAACATACTATAATTTATAAATGTATTGTTCATTAATCTAATTTCATTTACATAAGTAACTTACTATTATATTTTATATTTATAACATGACGATGCACAGCCAAACTTGCACTAGTTTCATTTACAGAAACATTAGCTAAAGAAGGAGAGAGATCAAATATTCATGCTAATGCTATAGCACCTATAGCTGCATCTCGTATGACAGAAACTATTATGCCACCAGATGTTTTAGAAGCTCTAAAACCAGAATTTATAGCTCCTTTAGTTCTCTATCTTTGTCACGAGTCAACCGAAGAAAACGGAAGTTTATTCGAACTCGGTGCAGGATTCGTCGCGAAACTTCGATGGGAACGGTCAAAAGGAGCGGTATTTAAAGTTGACGATAGTTTCTTACCGGGTTCTGTGGCTGCCAAATGGAATGAAATTACAGATTTTTCGCAACCCGATTATCCAAAATCACCAGCAGAAACTGATTACACCTCGTTGCTCGAACAAGCCAAATCATTGTCTTCAAATCCTAAAGGTGAAGACGTCAGATTCGACGGAAAAGTTGTGATTGTTACTGGTGCAGGTGCAGGTCTCGGTAGAGCATACGCGCATCTATTTAGTAGATTGGGTGCCTCGGTGATAGTTAATGATGTAGGCACAAAAGATGGTCGCAAATCTGCAGATATAGTTGTTGAAGAAATAAAGAAATTAGGTGGCAAAGCAGCGGCGAATTATGATTCAGTCGAAGCTGGAGAAAGTGTCGTTGCCACAGCAATTAAATCTTTTGGAAAAGTTGATGTAGTTGTTAATAATGCCGGTATTTTGAGAGATAAATCATTCGCCAAAATTACTGATAATGATTGGGATCTAGTACACCGGGTTCATTTACGAGGAACTTATAAAGTTACCAAGGCAGCATGGCCATACTTCTTAAAGCAAAAATACGGTCGTGTAATTAACACCTGTTCTACAGTCGGTCTTTATGGTAATTTTGGCCAAGCAAATTATAGTACAGCGAAACTTGGTATCCTCGGATTTAGTAATACACTCGCACTCGAAGGTGCCAAAAACAACATAATAGTAAATACTATTGCCCCTAATGCTGGCACTGCAATGACTGCTACTGTTTGGCCAGCAGAAATGGTCGAAGCATTTAAGCCTGACTACGTTGCTCCATTCGTCGCCTTTTTAGCATCAGAAAATGTTCCAACTAGTGGATCGGTATTTGAGGTGAGTGGTGGATGGATAGCTCAAATTCGTTGGCAACGAGCTGGCGGTGTTGGTTTTCCTATCACTAAACCACTTCAACCAGAAGATATCGCGTCCAAATGGGAAGCAATTGTGAATTTCGATGACGGTCGTGCTACTCATCCAACCACTACTCAAGAAGCTCTACAACAATTCTTTGAGAACTTTTCCAATACGCAATCTTCAGGTGATAGTAAATCAGCGAAAAAAGAAAAATCTGAACAGAAAGAGAGTGGTGGAATTGATGTAGAAGCAGCTAAACAAATTAAATTCGAACCAAAGGTACACGTTTATACTGAAAGAGATGTGATACTTTATGCGCTTGGTGTTGGTGCTACGCGTAATGACTTGCAATGGGTTTATGAGAACAGCGATGGTTTCTCCGTGTTGCCAACTTATGGTGTAATTCCTATCTTGGCTGCGCTACCTGTCGATAAATTTACAGAAATTTTGGGAGATTTTGATTTGGTAATTTTATATACTTCATTTCTCTAGTCAATATTTTTGCCTATAATAAATTTTATTTTTATATCTTATTAGATGATGCTTCTTCACGGTGAACAATATCTCGAAATCAAAAAACCTATACCCACATCCGGCAAATTATTAACAACTCCTCGTGTCCTCGATATTTTGGACAAAGGCAAAGGAGTATCTATTATATTTGGTTTGACAACCAAAGATGAAAAAGGAGATGTAGTGCTAGAAGGCGAAGTAAACTTATTCATTCGTGGAATTGGTGGATTCGGCGGCAAAAAAACCCGCACAGACTCTGGTCCCGCCACCGCGTTGAATAAACCTCCAAAACGTGCTCCAGATGCTGTTTTATCAGAAAAAACACATGAGGATCAAGCTGCGCTGTATCGACTAAACGGTGATCTCAATCCATTACATATCGATCCGGAAATGTCGGCAATGGGTGGATTCGAAGTCCCGATTCTGCATGGTCTTTGTTCTTTTGGGATTTCTGCGAAGCATGTTTTGATTAAGTTTGGTAATAAGGATGCAAAGAGCTTCAAGAATATTAAAGCGAGGTTTGCGTCTCCTGTGAATCCTGGCGAGACACTCGAAACTCAAATGTGGAAGGTATGAATATATCGCAAGGAATTATTTTATCATTAAATTAATAAAATTAATAAAATTAATAATAATTTTAGGAAGGAAATAAAGTAATCTTTCAAACTCGGATAGTTGAACGAGACGTAATCGCAATTGCTTCTGCAGCTGTGGAATTGGATGAACAAGTCACTAAAGCCAAACTTTAGTTAGCATGATTCAGATCATATTGAAAACTAATTGTGCAAAAATCATAATATATCGATCGATATACAAAAATAAACTTGTCGCATTTATTGTCAATAATAATGTAACTTCCCGATCAACCGATACTTGTATATGCGTTTATGTTATGCGTAATAGCATATTAATGAAAATTAATGATATTCCTAAAAACAATAAAAAAATCTTGTATTTTTGATTTAAAATCAGAAATAACAAAATTTTTTTGTTTTTTGACAAAAAATATTAAAACCAATATTATCAACTTTATATATACATATAATCAAATTTCAAGTATATTTATGTATCTTTCGTTTAATCTAAATAATATGATGATTAATAACTAGTTTGAGAAATATTTTAGTCATATCAAAAATACGTAAAATAATTACAATCAAACCCCTTTATAATTACCACTCTTGGAAAAGCAAAGTTTGATGACTATAGAGAAATGTAACTATAAAGAAATTTTTTTATATAAATAGAAAAGCAAGTAACTATAAAAATGTGACTACAAATAAGTATAATTATAAAGATTTGACTGTATCACATAATTCTAATCCTAATTCCAACTATTTGATAATTTTTTAAAATTATGTATTAAATTATAAAATTATTGTATAATACAAAAAATAGTTTGTATTCTAAATTTTGTTTATAAAACTATTTTTTATACTTTAGTAAAAAATATTTTTTATAAAGTTAATTATATATAAAAAAATTATTAATAAACTCTTAATATAAGAAAGTTTTGTAAATTTTTTGAATATTTTTCTTATATTGAGTTAATTATATAATAATTTTAATTTTGAATTTAAATTTTAACTAAAATTTTATTTAATATTATATATTAGAATTAAAAAATATATTAAATAATTAGTTTCAAAATCAAAATTATAATAGTTACTTTTTTATATAATTAAAAAATTTTTCAAACTAAATATTAATTATTATATTATTTAAATTAAATAAAGAATATATAAATATACTTATCAAATTTTTTTATAATTATTTTTTTATAGTCATATTTAAAAATGCTTATTAAAATTTAAAAGTTTTTATAATTTATTAAATTAAAATTATTTTAGTAAATAAAATTTAATTGTTAATATATCAAAATTCAAAATTATATTGAAATTCAAAATTATATTCAAAATTATATTAAAATTTGAAATTATATCAAAATTCAAAATTATATTAAAATTCAAAATTATATTAAAATTCAAAGTTATATTAAAATTCAAAGTTATACAGAAAATTAATATAAAAATAATTATAGTTAAATTTCTTTATAATTATCACTTTTAAAAAAGCAAAATTTGATAATTATAAAAAGAATGTGACTAAAGAAGTTTTTTTACTATATTTATATATAAATAAAAAAACAAAATAGTATAACTATAAAGAGATATAACTATAAATGGATGTAATTATAGAGAAATTTGACTATATTAAAATTTATAAGTATTTGATAATTATAAAATAATCATTTGGAATAATTATTTGTAATGATCATTCGGAGCGCTTGAGATAATTAGTTGAAATGATCATTTGAAATGATTATTCGAAATGATCATGTGAAGTGATCATATAAGATGATCATGTGAAGTGATCATGTAAGATGATTGTTTGTGATTATAAAAATATCTAATCACAATACTATTAAAAGAATTTGAGTTAGCAAAATCAAAAAATTCAAGTTTATTTTAATTATCTTTAATAAAAATTTATTAATTTCATAAAAAGAAAGCTAAATACTTAAAAGAAAAAAGAAAATATCTAGTATAAAATCATCAACTACTGAACAAGAACAAGCAAAATTAATTTAAAAAAATATTATCAAATAAATTAATAAATTTAATTTAAAAACATTTTAATTAAGTAATCAAATTATTTTTTAGATAATTAAAAACTCAGATATCATATTTTAATATCAAGAAAAAATATTATTAAGTAAATTAACAAATTTAATTTAAAAATATTTTAGTTAAGTAATTAAATTATCTTTCAGATAATCAAAAACTCAGATATTATCTTTTAATATTAAGAAACAATAAAAAAAAGAATATCAGTAATTAAATTTATTATAATTATTTAAAAATAACTAATATTAATTATATTAAAAAAAATTAATCAAAAAAATTCAACAAAAAGTTATTTAATAAAAAAAAATTTTGCAAAAAGTTATTTAACAAAAAAAATTTCAACAAGAAATTCATTAGAAATTTGACAAAAAGAAGATTAATTAGAAAAAATTTAACAAAAAAATAAATCAAAAATAATAATTCTTAAATAATTTTGAAAATTTAATTAATAAATTAAATAATTTAGTAATTATTATAAAACTAGCTAATAAAAAGCTAGATATTATTATTATTTCTAGTTCTTATATGTAAAAATATTTAGAAATAACTAACAGTGATTGTATTTATAACAGATTTTAAATAAATAACAATAGTAAATGATTAATAATGACAAATTAATAAAAATATAAGTATAAGATAAATATTGAATGTATTTAAATGATAAATAAATAATATTAAAATAAAATATATAAAGTATTTCAAAATGACAATAGTAACTGTGTTCATGACAATTTACTTTAAATTTTATAACTAAATAATATTTATAATAATAGAATAATGTTTCTTGACAAAATAAAGATAATAATAATAAAACTAAACTAATAACAAGACTAAACTAAAAGAAAACTTAACCAAAAACTATTTCTAATAAAATCAATATAATATGTCAAACTTGATATTAAACCAAAAGAAACTTAAAACCAAAACTAAAGAACTTAAATCAAAACTAGAGAACTTAATTCAAACTTGGAGAACTTAAATCAAAAACTTGAGAACTTGATTTTTATTAATTATCAGCACTTGTATTTATACATGTTTTTGTATTATAGTAATATAATATAATATAATAATACATAATAATATACAGTATGATGCAGTTATAATGCAACATGTGATATAGTAAATTTATACTAATATTATAAAATTACTGGTTCTTTTCTAAATTATACAAAATTTAATTATATTATAATTAATAATAATTTTGTTCTACATTAAAATACCAATAACAAAAATAGAAAATAAAAACTAAACTAGTATAGTAAATAATAAATTTGCTAAAAAAATTGTGTGATTAATATATTCAAATAAAGATAACAATAAAATAAATATAAAAAGATAAGTGATACAAGAAGAAAATCAAATTAAGTATATAATTCAAATATCATCATGACTAATTTTTATTGTAACTGCATTTTCCATTTATGTGTTCTTATATTAAATTGATAATAGTATATTGAATCAGTGACAATACTATAATTTAGAATTAAAAATATATTATAAAAACAAAAAATAATATAATAACAAAAATAAAAATAAACAAAGATAAAACAAAAGTAAAACAAGAATAAAACAAAAAAAATAAAAAAAGCAAACAAAGATAAAACAAACAAAAAAAACAAACAAAAAATCAGAAAAAATAGGACAAAAGTCAAAACTAAAACATAATCTTTTAGTTTATTTCAAGTAGTATTTCTATGAACTGAACTCTTATCTGAATTTGAATTTAATTCAAAATTTGAACTAAACTCAAATCAAACTTTGACTTGAATTCAAAAAAAGTTTGAAGTTTGAATTGAATTCAAATTGAACCATTATATAAATTCAAGTTTAATTAAAAATTAGTATATAATATTATATACTGATTTGTAGTTCTAAACATAAGTTATAGCTTTACTTATAAACATAATTTATAATATTAATAAAAATTAAAAGTTTATATAGTAATAACTAAAGTATTTTTATTAAATTTAATTATAAATACTAACTTTTTAAATAATTATTATTAATAATAACTATCTTATATCAATTTGTAGATTAAAATTGTAATAATTAAAATTATTTTTTAAATTCATATAACTTCTTAAATATTTATTCTAATATTAACTATTTTATATTAATTTGTAGCTTATATAGTATGTATAGTCTAAAGACATCAAATGATATATAATCATTAAAATTTTTGTATGCAATATAATATTTAATTACAAAGATATAATTGGTTAAAAGTTGATTATCTGATTATAAAAAAACTTTTCTCTGTGTGAGTTTAATCTTGTTTCATCTTGTGAGAGTTTGATAGTTTTAGTATATTTTTTTTGCTCCTATAACAAATATCAAAATGGAAAAGATGTGTCATATAAATTAAATAATTATCAAAAAATATTGAAATAGTATTAAATCAAGATGTGAAATATTAAATATTAAGTCTGATGAGGATATTACATGAATAGTTAATGAAAATAAATCTCTAAATAAAAATGAATTTATCAAAGAATTGTGAGAACTAATGTTAGAAATATTTAAAAAACTTGTTGAAAATACAAAAAAACTAGAAATATGAATAATTAAGAGACAAAAATCAACTTATACTAATTAATTTATGATAATTGGTAACAACACTAATAAATTTTCACAAAATAAATTACTATTATTGTATAATGATCTTTCGTCATAATATTTTATTGGATTATAAATATCTCATATATTATTGGATAAAGATTAAATTACGTAAAGTGAGCAAACAAATGAATGAGCAAACAAACGAATAATTAAACGAATGAGTGAATGAATGAGTAAATGAATATTGAACCAATAGAATTTAAGTGATATAGCAAATATGAATTCGTATAGCCTAGAAATTATATCTTGGATTTGTATAAAAGCAACATATATTATAGTTGTTAGAATTAAATATGAACAAGTCCTTTTAGATAGTAATTCCTAATTATCACATCTAATTAGTTATCATATAGTTTTGATCATTCAAA